TTAGTGTCTGGTCTGACCTCACCTTTTGCACCACAAAATGGTAATCAATCCCTTCTATTATAGAAACGCTTTCAAGCAACTTTTCAGCTGCTGCTCTCAAAGTCTAGATTCTCCAACAATCACACCCTCCCCCTATCGAGTAAGTATTCAAATCTTTAAGTGTAGGTTACTACAATTTTACTCTTTTTTTTTTTTCTTTCATTCTGTTAGTCCCTGGTTTGCGTAGATTTGGTGCCTATGCCCAAAAACTGATGCCTTTTAAATTATTAAGTTTGAACATAATGACAGGTTATGGGATATGACCCCTGACATACTGTAATAGTAATAATACAAAGCCTGGAAGATCAGCAATCATTCAATTTCATTTACCAAGAGAGGAAGATTAACCGAGAAATATAAGATGTGTCAGCCTTGCAGGCTTACTGCAGCATAGTAAACTTTAGGACATCTTGAAAGTAGGGCTCACATATCATTGAAAGAAATTATGATGAATGAGCTGCAACATCAATCAAGCACCCGCTTTGACACATACATGACCGTAAGCACCATTATCATATATCATAATCGCACAGGTTCAATGACAGCTTTATAATGTACAGCAAATCCACATGTTTCCAGGCTCTAAAATGTTAACCTTTGATCACAATCATAACAAATGGTATTTTTTTATCCAGATTTAGCATCTGAATAATGTAGCCAAAAGATTATACAGGCCATTCTAAAAAGAGTTTTGATGATCATAACAATCAGTATGTTTAATCAAGAATTACAATCAGACAAACATTAGAGTAGGCCTAATAGTTGAATATGCGGGTCTATTATGACACAAGAATCTCACAAGTTTATAGTTTGATTGTAATCTAAAAAATGATCTTTTTAATCGAGAGTACAGTAGGCCTATCTAAGGAATGATCAACACTATTAATGTACACATTTCCCAAATGCAACTGTAATCATTGATCCTTAAAAAATAATGACAAATATTACTTTTAAGCCATCATTCAGCCAGAGGTGAGTGATCCAGTTTAGTATTAACAATATAAAAAAAACAATAATACTGTTAATTCATTATTCCAATGAATGTGCTGTATGTGACATTAGGCACATTTATACTAACTGGTAGAAAAATAAGTCCAAAGTTGCAATGTACATTTTGTAAAAATCCAGTAGTGTGCTGTCCATGTATTAAGATTTAATATGAATTCGCTCAAGAGTGTGCACCTTGTAGATGCATTTATTAAATAACCTCTGATTTTATGAAAGACAACTACTTACTGTAGTGCTAAACACATCACTGTAATAGTACATAATGCTTTCATATTGTTAATAATTTCAAGAATTTTGCAAAAATAACCATTGCAAAGATGGTACTTCTAAGCTTTGAAATAAATATCACACATTTTCCCTGGGAAAGCATACTGCAGGGAGCACTCTTATCTAAAGAAACAATGGCCGTATTCGACTGGTCATTCTTCGTTATACCACACCCACCTGCGCAGTGGTAAAATCCTACTTAACAAAGACGATCAGTCAAATAGAAAACTGTTAAATATACGAAAAAACAAAATGGCTGCATAGTTACCGCGATACACATTACTTCAGATTGTGGCAGTATAGGTTTTTCGTAAAAAAAATGTTTTCATCCAGTTTTTGAATTCTGTTCTGTTCTGCCTACAATTATTTTTTGACTTCATGTGGGTAAATATTATAATTTTTATTTTCTGAAATTTAATCTAAATTATATAAACGCAAATGTTGTTCCTAAACTGACCAATCGGCCATGTTTTTTTTTGGTCATGTGGATAACTTAACGCTGATTAACGCACTCTGGTTTACGTTAATTTTCATTAAGTCTATTTTACGAACCAGTCGAATGAAAATAATACTCAATGAAAAATCATAGTCAACGAAATGAACCAATCGAATACGCCCAATATCAAAAGAGTAGGGGATTGCCTCCCCATGTACTGCCCAATTCACCACCAGAAGGATCCCAAAACAAGTCTTCAAGCTTCCTGTGTTATCCATAATTTGATTCACACCAAAAAATACTTATCTTATCTTATTAAATATACTTTGGAGAGAAAGCTGTCTGAACATGGCTTTCAACTCCAAAAAAAAAAAAAAAATGATGAATGATATTTAGAGCACATAGAAAAAATTGTTAGATTATCACTCCCACCCACGTCAAAAATTTGGGAAGTATTGATTAGGGAATAATAAAAAAATATTTTTGCCGCATCATTTATTTCAAAACAGCATAAAAAAACAATGCAATTTTGCCACTGGAAATACATTTTCTTTAAAAAAAAAACAATAAAAATTAAACCAGTTTTTTACAATATTTACAATATTCTTGCCAAATAAAACCAGTCCCTCCTTCATTGATAAAAAAGAAGCAATATTCTATAGTTCAGATTAAAAACAAAAATATATAAGTGT